TTCAGTGTTGTAACTTTTTGATGCGGTTTTCTGTTTATAGATACTGTTTTCTCCTTCAGTTTTGAACTTGAATAAGCTCAAACTACACAAAACATAAGCAGTAAAAAACATTTTTGTACAAGAACACTTCGGTTACCTTTCAATCCTGGGTTAGCATTAACTGGCTTTTGAACAATCCAGCTCAGTATTTGTCTTGATGATCTTTTTCCAGGACACCAGAGTTTTGTGAATGGGGCTTCATGAAAACTCGTGGCGAGCCAATACAAGAAATATGGAACAAAATTCCAGATGGAACTGACATTCTTATAACCCATGGACCACCTCTAGGTAGAAGAAATATAGCTGATCACCACTTTGAATTAGTTCTAATAACCACCAATTTACAAATTCAATAGCTGACCACTAATAGGTAAATTATTGGGCATAATCATAGATACACACGACTAAGTTAGTAGTTTTCAAATTGCTCTTTTTTGTGCAAAAATGTAGGACTATGAAACTTGCTAGAACTATGCAGTTCAGGTTGAGAAACTACTAGTGACGTGAAAGTCAAAAGCCATCAATCATTCAATCAATCAATCAATCAATCAATCAATCAATCAATCAATCAATCAATCAAAAACTTTATGACTGTGTGAAAAGCATAGGGCAAACAAATAAATCCAGCATGGAAAAATTGCAGAGCTCTCTGCTGTATACCATTGTCTAGTATTTTATTATGCACCTTTTAGATACAAGATCACCTAATACTTTCTAGCTGAGCAACAGAGCAGGAGTCTTTCAGCTATTTGGGTTGGATAGTAGCAGTTTGACACTGAGTTCTAAATTTCAGTTTGTAGAATTTCAAAATTTCCATTGATATTGTTTTTCAGGTCACGGAGATCGTACCATTTCAAATGTAAGAGCTGGATGCCTTAATCTTTTGCACACTGTACAGTCCCGTGTTAAGCCTAAGTACCATGTTTTTGGACACATCCATGAAGGTAGGTATACATATCCATGTATATAAGCTGGATCATTATAACTAAACATTCTTCTTTAGTAAATTATTACCTTCTATGATAGGCACTTAATGCATTGCTAATGCATACAGCCTATCATGCGAGGTCTATTATATTGCAAGTTCACAAAGTGATCAGTTCCCACTTGCCTTGATAGCTTAGTTGGTAAAGAACTGCATTGTAACCACGGTACATGTACGTACACTGGAATTGCAGAGGTCATGGGTTAGAAACTCGTTCAAGCCTGAATTTTTTCAGGTGTTCTTCTTTGAACTGCTTAAGTTGCCTAGTACATATATATGTAACTGTGATCATGGTCTGTCATGTATTAAATACAGTGGAACCTCAATTTAACGAACCTCTATATAATCAAGTTCTTGGTATAACAAATGATTTTCCTGGCCCCAGTAATAGTAAAATATATGGAAAAGAACAATACGACAAAGCCTTGATACATCAAAGCCTTGAACATATTTTGCCAGTCCCTTGGCCCCGTTCTATATCGAGGTTCCACTGTAAAAGGAAAATGTTGCAGCCTGGGCAAGTGTAAAATAATATTCTTTTCTACATTTGGTTGAGCTGAGCTAAACACAACAATCACAATATGTAGAACATTACCATCATTCTATCTCCTTTATTTTTGAATTACTTTATTACTCAGCATATGTGCATTGTCTCTTTCAGGATATGGAATAACTACTGATGGAGTTACGACATTTGTTAATGCCTCATCAGTTACAATCCAGTACAAGCCTTCTCACCCACCAATAGTCTTTGACCTTCCAAACAAAGAAACCTGAACAAACTACAAAATAATTTGAACAGCAATATTTTCTGATTGTAATTTTCACAATAATAACATACTGAAAAGAAATTCAAAGTAGCTGTAGAACTTACATTTATGATCTTTGTGAATCTTAAAAAATTTAATCACACTTAATTTGAACTAGCTGTTGGCCCAGATCATATTTTTGGGTTACAGGAGTTGTCACAACAGAAATGTATTAAGTTTTAAATTACCTGAAAATTGAAGGCCGAATAATTTATTTTCCAACTAAAGGAGGAAATATGCCAATAATGGTTATGACTGGTGAGGAATGAGCTGGTTTACAAATAATTAACTCCTCAAAAAAAATGTAGGCTCTGAGTCTTATGATGGTGTGCCATCCATAATGCATTAAAATTCTAAGAACACAGCGTTTGCTTCCATTAATGGACACTTAGTCATAAACATTATCTGTATTCCTTATTTATTATCTGTATGGCGTGGTCTACAAATAAACACTTTGAAATTGGTGACACCGAAAAAAAGGTCAAGGTTTACAATCATTACTCTGCCTTTGGAATTTTGAACTTGTAATATCAACACTGGCAGTATTTTAGAAGATCAAAACCAGTCAATTTCCATCAATAATAAGGTTTGTTTAAACAACCACATGACACACTACCCTACACAAATTCAAACAATGCTACATTAAATGATGTATATTTTTCATTGATACTGTAATTTTATTTTAATTTTTAAAGATTTTTGAAATCTGCATGAATTTGTTCCCTAATGGGCGTAATTATTATTTTATTTAAATTACCGGTATGAACAAAACTCTTTTTAAAATTTTATGTACAAAAGATTTGCAACTTCACAGCAAATGCAAACTTTGAGATGAATACTGCATATGAGTGAGAGTGTATGGCAACCTTAAAACCTTTGCTGTTCGTCAATTCAAAAGATAATATTTGCAAAATAGTTCAAACACTGCTAGCTCTTTTTCATGGCAATGAGATTTCGCAGCATATCAAAGCTGTTTCCATCTGGTTGTACAGATAATGATTCACCAGATGTTGTTTCCACCAATAGAAAACCAAAGTCATCAAGCCCTTTAATTGTAACTTCCTCCATCTTATCATTCACTGACAGGTTCACTTTCACATTACTAGAAAGAAATTGAAATTGATTTATCAAACTCTTCAAATAAATGTATATGATAGCTTTTATATCTGACCTTTTGGTACCTAATGAAAAGTAATAAAAGCTTAATAATCAATAATGGATAGTAATGCTAGTTCCAAACTAATGTATGTACAATCACAGTTTAAACCTGCATGTTCTCCAAAATAGAGTCTAACTTGTGTTGAGATCAGGCTATGTAAATGCACGCATTTCCAATTCCCTCTCTCTTCCAAGTCTATTCACTCAATGTGTGGTTTGAGGAAATATAGCTATTCCATACCGACCATCAGGGTTTTGAAAGGTGATGTTTTTAAAGGAAAGTATGAGGCATGAAAGGGTTTCAAAGCAAAAAAAAAGAAAAACATTCTGAGCAACACAACACTGGTGAAAACAACAACACCCACTACTATTTCTTGATGCTATGCACTTTGAGATCAGTACATTCATAGTAGAATAGTCTACTAGTAAAAAGTGATACTCTAAAAAAGTCATTATAATAGAAAGTGCACTGGTCAATGAAATATCAAGAGCAATAAATATTTATTTTGAAACAAACCTGTGGAGCCATCGGTTATAGTACTTTTTCAGAAATAAATCTGAACCATTTTCTTGAAAGTCATCAATAAGTTCCTCCACTTTGTTGATTGTTCTTGCCAATGTCTCCTCGATAGTTAGTGGCTGCAAGCTCGTCTTGTGATCTTTGTTGTATTGTGCAATGATCTCATTGATGCTGATGGTAGGCTCTTTGTTGGTTATGTTTATTCCCATTCCTGGCCAAAAAGAATATTTTTTTAATGTAAAGCCAAAGTTTACTTGAGATGTAACCCTTGACTGTAGGAACAATATCATTTATCCTTATATTACTGTGAGAATGCTGTGCTGTAAGTTACTGTCAAACCTGCTAATTTGACCCAGTCAAATCTTGATCTTGGAAGTCACTCATTAAACATTCAACTTTCTACACTATCCCAACAGTGTAAATCTCATTCAGTTGAAGTTTCAAATCTTTGACTCAAAAGATCAAAGCAACATCAGATCAGTAAAAGCATTCATTTGGTCATTATTTGGACACGATGCTTCAGCTACACCTGTAGTTTGACTGGAGAAACATCTCATTCAGTCTTCAAAATGTAATTTTTGTTAACTTAATGCAACTTCAGATCTGGAAATTTACATGTAGCATCACAGCACTCCCTAACAACCCCACCATTACAGCAATACAAATTTAAAAGATGCCGCAATCATACCTTTATTGTATTTATTATATAGATATAACAATTTATACATTTATATATTATTGAACACTTCTAACTTGGTGCTGCAAGTAGATAATACGGTTATATTATAAATGTATTAATTTTACATTGTTTTGAGTGTCAATAAAATTTAACTTACATATCATAACAAGCTCGGCACTGAAAGTAAAAGTTGTATGCTGACACAAAAATACTTGCCTATGACTGCACTAAGTGTGCCACTTGTGGCTGACGAGGTCACAATAACACCTCCAATCTTTATCTTCTGGCCAAAATATATGTCATTTGGCCACTTGAGACACACATCAATATCCTACAACAAACGGGTCAAATGATTTATAATTTTCACAGAAAAAATTTCTAGACTGAAGTAAGTTGTAATATATTGTTTTGAATTATAAAGCTAACAACATTCTTTTGGTAAAAATTAAAAAACCAACAACAACAACTAGAAAAAACCACACAACATAATGCTAGTTATGATGAGATTTAAGTCACAAAATTATGGCATGTATTTAAAAGATTAAAAATACTGGTAGCCAAATGAATAATAAAAGAATTTACTTAGTATACTAAAATACCAAAAGTAATAGTCAGAATACATCAATCAGGCTTGGGATCTAACCGTTTGCTGGCAATTTTGACTCGTAATTCTACCAACTCAAATTTGTTTACTCTTAGTCTTAGAACTGCTTTTGAATGTTGTAAAAAGGTGCACATTACTGTCATAAGGAGTGAGGTTTTCTGCTTATATTGTTTGGCCTTCTGAGTTTGAATAATCTCAAACTACACAAACATAAGCAGTGAAAAACATTTTTATACAGGAAATATTTATACTTTGGCTAACTTTTAATCCACGGTTAGCATTAACCGGCTCAGCTCCGTACAACCCAGCTCTGACTACAGTAATTTAAACTGGTTTGAGACCACAATCCAATCGAAAAGCCAGTAGCGGCTTAAATTAATAAAAAACATGTGACCTTGGTGAGCTCAAAACTTGAGCCCACAATATGGTCACGTAATACTGGGTCATGCGTATGCACCCGTGAACAATACTGCTAGCCATTTTTACCATGAGAAAAGCAATTCACAGGTTTCTATGAGTATGGGGCTCCGCTTGGAGCTCCACTATAATTTTAATTAAAATAAATTTAAAATCATTACTTCATATCCTGGCTGGGATCTGACTGCCTCCACAGCTGCCAAGGAGGCGATGTGCTGTAAGTAGGGCGGTCGTTGACCAAGATTGGAAGCAAAGGGAATCCTCACATGAAGAGAGAACATCATACAACCAGCAGGAGACAGCCAGATATTTCCACCTCGACCTACAATTCAATAAATTATTGCAAACTAACTCCATAATTAGTATATTATTTACTTAAAAAATCTATTATATTTACCAAAAATCTAACCTAACTTAACATCTCATTTAATTTGTTTCTCCAAGACTGACCCTGTGATTAAATTCTCAAGCATTCCTGAGAAAGTTAATGTCAAACCTCATAAAAATACTTGAAGCATCACTGTGCTATTTTGTTTTGAACTAAATGAAATGTCTATAGTACAAACCATTAACAATAATACTATTATAAAACCTTAAAATTAAATGGACTTTTTTGTTGCCATGTAAAACTACAAATCCAACTGGCTTACTTACCTTGACCTTTCATTTGCTGCCCAGCAATGACTACAATGCCCAAATCTTCTGGGATATTTCTTGTAAATGTATAATTCCTGGAATAAGATATTAATTAAAACAGCATATGGAATTATTTAATATATCATGTAAACATCACTGTATGTACTGTAAGTACTCATTAAAAATTGCTTTTAATTACCAAAGACAGTGGTTTCATTAAGGGCCGGGCACCGAACAAATTGAGTAGCTGTGCAGATAATATTTATCTTCCTGGTGTGACCATCTAGAGGAAAGTTTCCTTATAAAGAAGTTCAGTTCAAAAAGTTTTGCCTGCCTGTAAAACCCAGTTGTCCTTCCACTGAAAACATTAATGAGACCCCTGCTTTACCATGAAATTCCACAAATATTAATATGTACATTTGGATATCAAGCATGTACTTGCCTTTCCTAATAACTGCAAAATTCTGATTATAAACCTGATAATAAGCCTTCCCAGTTACAAGCCCATCAAAAAACTACTGCAGTTATAAGCTACCTGGATATAAGAACTCCTGTACCTTTTCTTGTTTCATTAACCAGTAGAGTGTGGAACAATATATTTACTTACTATCTTGTCAAATATCATTAAGGCAACTGCCTATTGTTTTAATTGTACTTGTAAAATGTTGTCAACTTTATCCAGCATCAAGGGGTTTTATTTTTGTACTTCCAGTATTTGGCACTACGAGGAATCTCCAGATAATGAATTCTGTTCAACAGTCTTTTTATACTGTTGGATGCTGGTTTCATCAGCTCATTTCAAAATATTTTTTATGCTGCTCATAATCTTGGATATAACCCTACCCAACCCCCATATGGCCACACAAAACTGTTATGAAGTTGTATAAGCCCACGGTCTAGGGCTTATAACCAGAATTTTACCAGATAATAACACAGACTGGATTGACGAAAGGCAAGCTTTTGAGACTTGTACAAGGCCTTGACCACTGGAAGAGCATGACCTATAACTTCTACCTCCAACCTCAATGCTGACTAAGATGATCGATGACTATGACACTAGTGATTCATATTGTCTCCTATTTCTTCATCTGATTCCTGATTTAGCTAAATTGATAGATACTAACCCATCAAAAACTGTTTGGGTCGATGTTATCACATCACTGTATAACACCACATGACCCAACACTTTGGTTAGCAAGTTATCCTGGTATTTCTTCCAGTCAAATGAAACTGCTTTGATGTTGTCTTCTCTGGTAACAACTGGCAATGTCCTTTCTGTAGCCTTTGGAATAGTTTCTCCATTTGGCACAAAATGCAAAGACAGATCCTTTCCAGAACAAATATCTGCATCCAGTGATGTTCTCAGAGAGTGAAAGAACTTCTCTTTATCCTTCAGAGAGCAAAAGTGATAATTTCACAGTTACTGTGGTTAAATTTTCCCTTCAAGACAGGTCACTATAACATTACTATGGAAATACAGAAGCTAAAAACCTGGCCAGATTGACATTCACTTGCTAAGAATAATTGAAAAGACCCCACCTGTCCGAGCATCTTGCTGTTAGGAGTCACTAAATACCAGTCCCAAGGGTGTCTAATCAGTAGTTACTACCTTAAGAAAGAGTAAAGAAAAAGCAGGAAAAATAGAAATAAGGTGTACAGTCAGATAGTTTTCAAAAAACCACAGGATCAAGTTTGCAAATGCTGTAATTTCTCTAGATCTGTCAGTAAAGATCAGTATACACATTTAGTCCATAAAAATAATAATGCAAAGCACAAACTAAAACCATAAATTTTTGTTGTACACATTAATGCAGGGTTTGTACCCTTTTTCAAAAAAAAATTTCCAGGACTTTTCCAGGACTCAGATTGATTTTTCCAGGACTCTAAAATTCACTTTAACCCTTTCACTTCCAAGATCTTAATGTTAATTCTCCTTACTGTCTGCCATACATTTCATATTTTTTTTACTTGAGTTTAACAGATTTCCAGAACTTTCCAGGACCAGTAGCCCTTTTCCAGGACTTTCCAGTCCTGGAAAATGCCACATTAAAATTCCAGGACTTTCCAGGTTTTCCAGGACCCATACGAACCCTGTAATGTTGACTTAAAATATTGATAAATCCTTTACTGCAAGAGAACCCAGAGGTAAGAGGGTCCAATATTTTTTCAATCCTACATTTCGCCTCCATTTTTTGCTCAATGCTGCAAACCAACTCCACCCAGAATATTTATGCTGCTCCCACCTGGTGAGAGTTGCACTTCTCCACATAACATCCATAACATGTCACTGATTCTCCATTTTTCATCCTATATCCCACAATTGATTTTAAAACTATCTGGCATCACATCTATCAAAATGAGCAAATCCCACTCCCACCAAAATATTTTTATCCTGCATCCCACCATTAAAAGTCCCGTCATCCTGTATCACACCTTCATTTTTACTCTCATCCTATGTTGAGCCCTCATGTAAAATTGAAAAAAGGAGCAACTTTCAATTCTGAATACTCGGCAATGCCCTTGGATTTCCTCCACAGATGTAAACTCAGAACCATACCTACCTGACTCTAGCTCTAAATTTAGAAGTGCAAGGGTTCAATCAGTAGATACTTACTAATTTGTTTGCAAGAAGAAAAACTGGCATCAGTTCTGGAACTTCACGTGGCAGACAGTTCATTCCTAAGAGTTGCAAGATCTGTGATAATGAGCTTATCCTGGCGTCATCTGACTGTCTCAAAAGATCTAAGGTTTGTGCATGTAATTCGTCATCATGTATTCTTATGTTGTCTGTGAATGACTCTAAATGAACAAGACTGAACACAGCACTTCCAAGACCTTCAGAGATCTGAACAATTACAGGTTTCCTTGATGATTCTTCTTCGGCAACAACTGTTGTTTTGGCTCCTGCTGAAAACAAAAATAAAACAAAAGGGTCACATTCAACCATTTTCAGCTTGTGAAAGGTTCTATTACATTAGGAGGCAAGATATAAGAGATTGTCACATTCTGACACAAAACCTGCACCTTGTTACTGCTGTTAGAAATATAATTTATGTTTCCATTGAATGCCTGCTACAAGTGTGAGCATGTTGTACATTTCAATCCTGACTTGACTATCAAAAAGAGTCTTAAAATGTGTGGTGAGATTATACTGGTCACGTACATTAAGAAATTTATCTCTCCTCAAGAATGATTGTGCTCTTTGATAGGGATGTTCAGTCATTGACTTGTCTTGTATACCTTTGCTATCACAACTATGTAAGGAAGGGTCCACAATTCTATGTACTGTTTGAAAGTGTTTTTGACATGTGAGGAGAATGTAATGAATGTATGTATAATTTAGTAAAATTTTTGTTGTTTTTGTTATTGTTTTGTCCTGACAAGGAAGGTCAGTAATTCTAATGGTAAACTCATGATCCTCCTTGAGTATTCCTTATCACATTCTGCAAATTACAGTAAATCACATTCAGTCTACACTTAATATCAGTTACCTTCAAAATAATAGGGTTCACAAAGTGCCAAGAATTTTTTTGAGTCTCCATAAGGTAGTTCTAGATGATTCACTTTAACAGAAGCAATAAAAGGCTTAAACTGTTCATGCCATGACTTCTTGATCACGTGACACGTAAATGGACTACACAAACCAAAAATCTGACCTCCACCTCTAAGGTACTCAAAAAATGCTTGTTGAACTTTTGATGATACAGGATCATTGTTCCCAAGAACTAAGAGAGCCGTATTCTCAATCCATGGATGAGAAGTGACCTGCTGTTCATAAAGTCTGTAGATAACATAACTATGCAAATTTAGAACTTGTGCTAGTGCCTGCTTCACAACACTGAACTTCTTGTTGTCACTGTCTTTCATTCCAGTGTAAATAAGGACATTTGGAGGCTTTGAAGAGGGAGTAGCCGATGTTTGGGTGACATGGCCAGTGGGCTTTGATGCTGAGGAAATATAGTGAGACATATTTCATGTAAAATGAAAATTTAAACATACTGTAAAGTAACAAACTAAAAAGTCAAACATCATTATCTAGGAATGGTAATTCAGATGTGGATGTTGTTTGTTTGTTTGTTTGCAGCACCTAATGGATGGGATCAGTCTAAAGTGTAAGATTGTAAGATTGAGAGTAGTGTCTATCCCAAAAGTTCCCTAACAATAATAATTATTGTTAGGGAATTAATTATTAATTATTGTTCAGGTTTCCACCCCCTCCCCCCCTTCCCTCTCCCCTCTCCCCCTCCAAAGAAAATTAATTTTACCAATAACTTTGGTCAGTTTTCCACTCTTATGGGCTCAGAGATGAGAAACAGGAGATCGCCAACTTTGCCTTGTCTATACATGTAAGTATCATACACTCATCTTTAAGCTTTTGAGCTTTTGAGTTTGTTACTCACATTTTCCGTCACTTGATGAAAGCCACCGACACTGCTCAGCTTTGTTTGAAGCCGTGATTCTAGCACACGATGAGGTCGATCTCAGAAAAAGGTTTGTAACAGCATAACCAGATAACCATCCAGCACCTAATAAAGGCATTTAGGCGAAAGAAGAACGCTCACACGAGTACATGACAGACGAACAACAACCAGTTCAGGAACACGGAAAGGAATCGGCGCGGGCGCGTTTACGCGAAAGCAATTGCTGCTTCATGTAGTGGTCATCGACTGTAGCTTAAACTTTTTCGCGCCAACTTGAGCCCTGCAGTCTCCCTTCTTCGTAGGAAGAAGAGAGGTTGAGTTTTGTGGGGTTTGTGGCGAGTCAACAATTACTTCTACCTCTGGGTCTTATATACTTCAAAATATTCGGGCGTTATTTTTAATTTACGCACTTTTCTTTATTCACATCAGATGTCTACATGCTTTTCAAGCCTCAACACGAAAGGGATTCTCTTCCTCTCACATACCAGGGGTCGGGAAGGATTTCCGTGTCAAATTAAAAATAGAAACCCAACAGTCTTCTCTATCGCTTAGTGAACCTATAGCCTTAAGTTCGGTATTCTTTTCGTTTCAATGTATTGGTTAATTTCGAAGAAGCGGTCATTAGACGTAACAGGTAATTCATGACTATCTTCTCCTCTTCTTCTTTGTCTTCTTCTTGCCTTGTGGTCGCGGCTCCCAGGGCTGACTTGCAATTTGAACAAAGCTGTTCGTCGTAGTCGTATCTGTTGGTTTTGAGAAGCAAATAAATTTGATCAATTCTATCGTAAAATTACCGTACCTTTAAATTAAATTAGTGTAGATCGGTTTAGAGATGACGAGTCTATGGCCAGTCATAAAACGTTACGAGGAGAGAAAAAGCGCAATATCAAACGTAGGATTAGAATTTTCCAGAGCGTATCCAATAAATTAAGAAAAAGCGGGCATTAGCAGTTAACGCGACAGCTTTTAGGACGCAGGAGTGCTATTCCCACCCCCTGCCCCCTTTCTTTCCGCTCAACGGAAATAATAATAATATATAAGAAAACCAGAAAGATGGGCGGACATTCAATTTCCCGCTTATCTTTATCTGCTTATACTTCTGCTTTGGTTTTCAAGCCGTTTTGATCCTGTTCCTAAAGTAAACCAGGCCTCACATAGCATCGTTCATGTGTATAGATACTATTTGTTTCTTCCTCCTGCAGCTGGTTTAATAATTTTTAAAATGTTAAACTGGATATGAAGAAGGAAAGCGCCGGGAAAAAGAGCATCATTATTATCCTGTTAACTTACTGTGTTATCATCGTAGCTTCACAATCCGACCCATCCTCCGCCAGAAATTGACATTCATCTATTACGGGGTAAAGGTAACAGGTAAATACATGTAAAACAGTAATAAAATAATACAACCTTCATCAGCTGGGTCATGGCTCGTGAGGGTGGCCGATATTAATTTATAGATATATACTCGGACGTGATCTTTATTTCATACACGTTAAGAAAAACTATCAGTAGGTGCAAAACAAAACTACAGATCATTCTGGGTTTCCCTAGCATGTAGTGGCTGATTGCTGCTCAAGGCAGATTGCGAATCCACCACAATTTAATGATAACATACGGATATGTTGCTAGTAGCTAAGCTTATGGTTATAGTTTTTGTTACTGAGTACTACTAAAGGCTCGGCTTTTGTTCATGTAGCCAGGACAATCTCTAACTGGGTTCAGTATATTTTATCTCGATGCCCGAAAACCTAAAATTGGATTTTTGAAGCATCCAAAAGACCATGAGCCCCTAGACTTGAATTGAGTCCACTCCCATTTATACGAATGGCACTAACCTGAACTTGTGTCATCACCATAGTTACTCTGGGGGACAACATGCGATGTCGATGCCTGTAACAGAACATTAATTGATTCGATAATTGGTGAAGCTAAAGAATCCGATCCTATCAATGCGTCGGCAAACGCGTCGGTCGACAGTCGCCGACTGACCGACTGTCTACCAACCCGTTAGCCGACGCGTTGTCGGGATCGGCTTTTTACCTTTGCGTCGGCCGACGCGTTGGCCGTCGCATCGGTGAATAGAATAATTCGGCAGATGTAATAAATTTTACATTTCTTCCAGAATGTTATTATCTTCCGCGACATGCACTTGTAGTGCCTAGTTTATCGACTCGTGGCATAATAATTTGTATGTCCAGAACCAGTCTGCTGAACCGAGTGTTCCACAGAGTTAGCTTTGGGAATATCTGAGTCTCTTTAGAGATTTCAGCTGCTGTCAATCAAACGGTTGAAGGTGCAACGTAAATCCCACGGTGCGATGAAGTTAACAATAGCGCCCTAATTGAAGGCGGTCCGCACTTATTCACAGAAAGCCAAGTTGAGAAAAAGTTCAAAGCATGGCTAAATTTCATTTATAGTAGAATATAAGGCCCCTTCCACACCACGCTGGAGAAATTTGAAATCTTAATTTTATTTCTACGGTTGAGGTCTAACGTCCACACTAATCCCTCCCGAAAACGGAACTTTTCGAAAACGCTCTTCAAAGACCTCAAACCGAAGGAATTAAAAACGCCTTTGCCTTAGTGTGAACGGAAATATTTTGATATCGGA